CACGGTGAAACCCTATCTCTACTAAAAATACAAAAAATTAGCTGGGCATGGTGGCACGTGCCTGTAATTCCAGCTACTCAGGAGGCTGAGGCAGGAGAATTGCCTGAACCCAAGAGACGGAGGTTGCGGTGAGCCGAGATCGCACCATTGCACTCCAGCCTGGGTAACAAGAGCAAAACTCTGTCTCAAAAAAAAAAAAAAAAATAGTGTACAGACTAATGCTGTCCAACAGAAATCCAATGTGGGTCACATGTGTATCTTTGCTTTCTAATAGCCACATTAAATAAGTAAAAAGAAGTAGGTGAAATACTTACTAATATGATACGATCATATGTTGTATTAAGAACAGTGAGGCGGTGGCTTACATCTGTAATCCCAGCCCTTTGGGAGGTCAGTCTGGGCAAGGTAGTGAGACCCCATCTTCAAAAAACTTAGTCCAAGCGTGGTGGCTCACTCCTGTAATCCCAACACTTTGGGAGGCTGAGCTGGGCAGATCACTTGAAGCTAGGAATTCAAAATCAGCTTGACCAACATAATGAAACTCCATCTCTACTAAAAATACAAAAATTAGCTGGACACAATGATGCATACCTGTAGCCCCAGCTACTCAGGAGGCTGAGGCGTGAGAATCACTTGAACCTGAGAAGCAGAGGTTGCGGTCAGCTATGATCGTGCCACGGCACTCCAGCCTGGGCAACAGAGTGAGACTCAAAAAAAAATTCTTTTAATTAAAAAAGTAGCCAGTGTGGTGGTGGTGCCTGTGGTCCCAGCTACTCAGTCTCAGGCTGGAGGATCGCTTGAGCACAGGAGTTTGAGGCCGCAGTGAGCCGTGATCCAGGCACTGCACTCCAGCTTGGGTGACAGAGCAAGACTCTGGCTCCAAACAAATAAACAAAAAATTGCGCATCTAGGAGGACGGAAGCTGCCGTCTCTTGAGCTTGCGGAAGCGGCTGCGCGTGGTGTCTTTGCCTGCTCGGGAGTAGCTGTTGGTACCTGGGACAAGATCCTCTCTGCAACTTGTCCTCATTGGTGCAGATTCCCCCAACATCGAGGTCACAAGGAAGGACCTGAGTCCCAGCTGCCTTCAGCTCCCGGGGGTGGGCTCCTGGCAGCCTCCTCCCCAAAAAGACAACATCAGTCTCCTGGCCTCTTCCCGCCTGCTCGGGCCCCTTCCCAGATCGCCCTGACCTGGATGGTTTTCCTGCGCCTCTCTGCTGGCCCCTCCTCTTTGTCCTTTGCAGAGTTTTGTCCCGTTTGACATCGGCATTCCTGAGCTGTGTGTCCAGTTCACTTGGTACACACTCCTGCAGCTCCACCCAATACCTTCGGCGTCTCTCTTTCCACACCTGGCCTCCCCACCCACTCGCCACACCCAGACTGACCTCCGCAGTGTCCCTCGAACCTCTTCCTCCCCTTCCCTCCCGACTGTAAAGACGACCCCGTGGTCCACCCAGTCACCCAGGCCTGAGCCTGGGACCCATCCTGGATGCTACCTCCCTCCCACCCCACGCCCTGCCTGACCCATGCCCTCCATCCTCTCCTATTTGAGTCTTTGCCTTGCCCCTTCCCTGATCTCCTGACTACCCAGTCTGTTTTTTCCAGACCATCCCTGCCTCCATTCTACCTTCCTTCAGTGGCTACCTCCTCCAGGAAGACCTCCCTGACTTCCTCCTCTGCCTCCCCAACCCCTACATTCCATCTAGATGCCCAGTCATCTGCAGCTTTCCTGGCTTCGGAAGTGAGTTGCAGGCAGTGCAACTCCTCGTTTTGGGAAGGAGATAGTGTCCCAAGAGCTGGGCCTCACAGTGGTCTTCTAGATCCAGCTGGAGGCCAGCAAGTGGGATCCCGGTGGTAGCCTTTCCAGGACAGCCCCTGTCTGGTGTGGACCAGCCTTGCCCGGGAGGGAAGTGGGCTGCAAGCGCAGACGATTGCCAAATCTGCAGCTTGGGGAATCTGCTGGCTCATCAAGTTCCAAAGGGGAAGTGGTAGGGAAGGGAAGTGAATGATGGGCTTGGCTGAGTCGGGCTGTGTCCCCTTTCCGGCACCCACCCCCACTCCCTGCAGTCCCGGGTCGTATTCACTCATCCACTCTTCAGACCAGGGTGCCCCCAAGTCCTGGGGCCAAAGTGTCTTCCTCTTGATCTGTATCATGTGACCTTCCTGAGCCTCCCACCTCTCAGGACCAGGGGGGCACCTCTCTAGACCAGCACAGGCCAACAGAAATCGACTGTGAGTGGCCAGGCGTGGTGGCTCACGCCTGTAATCCCAGCACTGTGGGAGGCTGAGGCGCGCGAATCACGAAGTCAGGAGTTCAAGACCAGCCTGACCAATACGGTGAAACCCTATCTCTACTAAAAAATACAAAAATTAGCTGGGCATGGTGGCGCGTGCCTGTAGTCCCAGCACTTTGGGAGGCCGAGGCAGGAAGATCACTTGAGGTCAGGAGTTTGAGACTAGCCTGACCAACATGGAGAAACCTCATCACTACTAAAATTACAAAAAGCTAGCTGGGCATGGTGGCAGACACCTGTAATCCCAGCTTCTTGTGGGAGGCTGAGGTAGGAGAATTGCTTGAACCCTGGAGGCAGAGGTTGCAGTGAGCTGAGATCACATCATTGCACTCCAGCCTGGGCAACAAGAGTGAAACTCCGTTTCAAAATATATATATAGAGAGAGGCAGGCCCAGAGCCTGTGTTTTCAAAATCTGGTGTGTATTTTACACTCGAAGCAGTTCTTATCTCAAACCCGAGGACATTTCAAGTGCTCTGTAGTCTCCTGTGGCTGGCAGCCGCAGTGTTACACTGCTCAGAGCCCGACTTCCCTGTCAACGTATAGAGCGTCTACAGAATTCGAACATCTAACTATTGGAGCTGTGCTTCTAACCCTCCAAGGTTCTGCTGTGACATTCTAGAATCCTGTGATTCAAATAGCCTGTAACTCACATTGTAGGATCTGTTGGTTTCAACAGTCTGTGATTCTAACATTCTGAGTCTGTGTGCGTCTAACACTCTAGCCTCCAGAGTATATATTTATTTAGAAACAGAGTCTGACTCTGTCACCCAGGCTGGAGCGCAGTGGGAAGATCTTGACTCACTGCTATCTCTGCCTCCTGGGTTCAAGCGATTCTCCTGCCTCGGCCACCCGAGTAGCTGGGATTACCGGCACCTGCCACCATGCCTGGCTAATATTTTTTGTGTTTTTTGTTTGTTCGTTTGTTTTCTGAGATGGAGTTTCACTCTTGTAACCCAGCTGGAGTAAATTGGCATGATCTCGGCTCACTGCAAACTCGACCTCCCAGGTTCAAGTGATTCTCCTGCCTCAGACTCCTGAGTAGCTAGGATTATAGGTGCCCGCCCCACGTCCGGCTGATTTTGTGTTTTTAGTAGAAACGGGGTTTCACTATGTTAGCCAGGCTGGTCTCCAACTCCTGACCTCAGGTGATCCACCTGCCTCGGCCTCCCAAAGTGCTGGGATTACAGGGGTGAGCCACTGTACCTGGCCTGATTTTTGTATTTTTAGTAGAGATATGGTTTCACCATGTTGACCAGGCTGATCTCACACTCCTAACTTCAGGTGCCACCCCGTCAGCCTCCCAAAATGTTGGGATTATAGGTGTGAGCCTCTGAACTCAGCCTGGATTTTTTTTTATGTTAGATTTTTTTGTTTTGTTTTGTTTTTTTGAGATAGGGTCTCACTGCAAGCTCTGCCTCCTATGCTCAAGCAATTCTCATGCTTCAGCCTCCAAGTACCTGGGACTACAGGTGTCCACCATCACACCCAGCTAATTTTTTGTATTTTTAGTAGAGATGGGATTTCGCCGTCTTGCCCAAGCTGGTCTTGAACTCCTGAGCTCAGGCAATTTGCCTGCCTTGGTCTCTCAAAGTGCTGGGATTGCAGGCATGAGCCTCCGTGCTGGCCAGAGTCTTTGATTTAGATCAGGGGTCAGCAAACTCTGACCTGCTACTTGTTTTTGTAAATAAAGTTTTATTGGAACATGGTCACACCCATTCAATCATTGGCTGCTTTCATGGGACTGGAACAGGGTTGAGTAACTGTGATGGACCTTGAGTGAACCGCTGACAGGCAAAAAAGAAAATATTTACTGTCTGGCTCTTCACAGATAAATTTACCAACTCTTCATCTATATATTGAAAGATTCTGAGAATAATAGTGGTTTCACAGATGTTTATTTTGTGTGTGTGTGGGGGCGGGGGTGGGGCTTGCCTTCACCCAAAGTGCATGTGTTTGGTTTTGTTTGTTTTTAAAGATGGGGTTTCACCATGTTGGTCAGGCTGGTCTTGAACTCCTGATCTCAGGTGATCCTCCCGCCTTGGCCTCCGAAGTGCTTGGATTACAGGCGTGAGCCACCATGCCCGGCCATGTGTGTGTTTTTGAGATGGAGTTGCTCTGTCAGCAGGCTGGAGCGCAGTGGCGTGATCTCAGCTCACTGCAGCCTCCGCCTCCCGGGATCTGATGGGTTTCACGGCACTTTCCACTTTTGCTTCTTCCTCATTTTCTCTTGCCACTGCCATATAAGAAGTGCCTTCCGCCTCCTGCCATGATTGTGAGACCTCCCCAGCATGTGGAACTGTAAGTCAAATTAAATCTCTTTTTCTCCCCAGTCTCAGGTACGTCTTTATCCACAGCATGAAAACGGACTACTACATATTGCAAAGTCAATTATTCACTAGAAATAATGGGCCAGGCACAGTGGCTCACGCCTGTAATCACAGCACTTTAGGAGGCCAAGCAGGCGGGTCACCAGGTCAGGAGATCAAGATCATCCTGGCTAACACAGTGAAACCCATCTCTACTAAAAATACAAAAAGTTAGCCGGGCGTGCGGTTACTCGGGAGGCTGAGGCAGGAGAATCACTTGAACCACCCAGGAGGCAGAGGTTGCGGTGAGCCGAGATCGCGCCATTGCACTCCAGCCTAGCCGACAGAGCAAGACTCCATCTCAAAAAAAAAAAAAGAAAAGAAAAAATAAATAACACAGCATTTCAATATTCATTATTTTTATTTTCATCATTAAAGTCACGCATACTGTTTTATTTTAAAGCTCAAAAAGTGTTACGTGCTATGATTCCAGTAAATAACATTGTTGAAATGACATTATAGAAATAGAGAGTAGATTCGTGGTTGCCAGGGATGAGGGGCAAGGCTGGGTGTGGGGCTGGAGGGAGGTGGGCCTCCCTGGGATCCTTGTGGTGATGGGAACGTCCTTTATCTTGACAGTATCAGCGTCAATATCCTGGTTATGAGACTACATCGTAGTTCGGCGAGATGCTGCCGCTGGGGAGGCGGGGTACACAGCTCCCGCTGCAGCATCACTCACAGCTGTGTTGAGTTCGCCATGATCTCATAACTTTAAAACAAAGTAAAATCAAAACTGCAGGATTTTTGGGTTTTTGTTTGCTGAGACGGAGTCTCCTTCTGTCAACCCAGGCTGGCGTGCAATGGCGCGATCTCGGCTCACTGCAACCTCCGCCTCCAAGGTTCAAGCAATTCTCCCACCTCGGCCTGCCAAGTAGCTGGGATTACAGGTACCCACCATCATGCCCGGTTAGTTTTTTGCATGTTTAGTACAGACATGGTTTCACCATCTTGGCCAGGCTGGTCTGGAACTCCCGACCTCAGCTGATCCGCCCACCTTGGCCTCCCGAAGTGCTGGGATTACAGGTGTGAGCCACCACGCCCAGCCTGATTTTTTTTCTTTTTTTTTTTTTTTTTTAAAAAGACAGGGTTTCACCATGTTGGTCAGGCTGGTCTTGAACTCCCGACCTCAGCTGATCCGCCCACCTTGGCCTCCCGAAGTGCTGGGATTACAGGCGCGAGCCACCCCGCCCGGCCTAATTTTCTTTTTTAAATCAACTCACAAGAGCTTAGATAACCTTTTGGGACAAAATGGACTTCTGTTTTGTCCCAAAGAACTTTTGAGATGCCACTTACATTTTCTCCAATGCTTCATGAAATAATTACATTTTTTTAAAGTGAGAATCTATTTGTCTGTATCCTGAGTTCCCTGTTCACACCTTTTGCCATATGGAAGTGCCCCAGATACACAGGTTTCTGTTTGTTTTTCAAAAGCCTGGGATGGAAAGATGCGGGGAGGGAGGTACTCCCTAGAAGGAAGCGTTCACCTCGCAAGTGAGGAAGGATGAGAAGAATTTGGCTGGAAGAGGAGGGACAAGCCTGGAAAAGGAAGGAAACGCGGAGGAGAGTTAGAGCTAAGAGAATGCCATCCCACCAAGAGTGCAGTGAAAACAAGCAGAAGGACAGTGGCCGGGAAGGAAGGGGACATCACCCACAGTGGCCTGTAGGGCTCTCGCCTACACCGCCTGGCTCTTCTCGGCCGTAGTGTCCACTGTGGAGCGCGTGAATGACTTGCTCTCCCTGACCATGGTCTCTTCAGTCAACACGTTCCGGAGGAGGCTGGGGAGGGATTTCAGCAGCCGGGCCTGGAAGCCCTGGCCGGCCACCACGTAGATGACGGGGTTGATGCAGCAGTTGATGTAGGCAAAGGCGATACACAGGGAATCCAGCTTCTTCAGCCGCACGAAGTGGGGTGAATTCGGCTCCACAAAAGACATCATTATCCCCGTCACCTGGTAGGGCAACCAGAAGATAAAGAAACTGACCACCACCGCCACCACCACCTTGAGCGTCTTGGTGGACCGCGTGGCCCTGCGGCTCCATGTCCGGAGCAGGAGGAAGGTGTAACAGATCGTGAGCGTGAGCAGCGGCCACAGGAAGCCCAGGACCAGCCGGACGATGGCCACGGCTTGCTCCCGCTGTTTGCCAGCCTCGCCGTAATCCACGCCACACTCCACCTTTGGTGGAAAGTACTTCTCCCGGACCACACGGTAGAGGAAGGAGGGTATGGTCAGCAGCAGGGCTAAGCCCCACGCCACAGCGCAGGCCGCCCAGGCCAGGCGGGCCCCTCGGAAGTTCTGGCACCAGATGGGGTTAAACACCAGCAGGAAGCGGTCGGCACTGATGGTGGCCAGGAGCAGGATGCTGGCGTACATGTTGAGCAGGATGAGGGAGGGCAGGATGCGGCAGGCGGTCCTGCCGAAGGGCCAGTGGTTCTCCTGCACCATGGATGTGAACAAGATGGGCAGTGCCAGGCAGGAGAGTAAGTCGGCCACCGCCAGGTTGAGGAACCAGATGGCGTTGATGGTCCGCTTGGCCTCAGATGCCGTCACCCAGACCACGAGGGCGTTCCCCAGCACTCCCACCAGGAAGACGACTACGTAGATGACCAAGGCCAGGATGTCCGGAACCTGCAGCTTGTAAGATGTCTTATCCACCGGGACATCGGGATCCAGAGTCGGGTAATCATAATCAGTGGTGGAATGAATGAAGGGGTCCTAGATGGGATTGGAGAGACTGGAGAGGATGAGTCTGCCGACCCGTGCTGGAGGAGGGGGTGTCCCAGCTCGGGCATGTGCCATTTCCCCCCTGTGGCTTTTTCTCACTAGGAAAGGGGGATGCTGAGGGCTGAGAATCAGCTGGGGTGTCACACCACGTATTAAAATATTGAGGCAGATGCAGAGGCTCACGCCTATAATCCCAGCACTTTGGGAGGCCAAGGTAGGCAGATCACCTGAGGTCAGGAGTTCGAGACCAGCCTGCCCAACATGGTTAAATCCAGCCTTTACTAAAAACACAAAAATTGGCCAGATGTGGTGGTGGGTACCTGTAATCCCAGCTTCTTGGGAGGCAGAGGCAGGAGAATCACTTGAACCCAGGAGGTAGAGGTTGCAGTGAGCCAAGATAGTGTCATTGCACTCCAGCCTGAGCGACAAGAGTGAAACTTCATTTATATATATATATATATATATATATAGAGAGAGAGAGAGAGAGAGAGAGAGAGAGAGGCAGACACTGTGGCTCATGCCTGTAATCCCAGCACTTTGGGAGGCTGAGGTGGGCGGATTGCTTGAGCCCAGTAGTTCAAGAATAGCCTGGGCAACATGGCAAAATCCTGTCTCTACTGAAAATACAAAAATTAGCTGGGCCTGGTTGTGTGTGCCTGTAATCCCAGCTACTTAGGAGGCTGAGGTGGGAGAATTACCTGAGCCAAGGAGGCAGAGGTTGCAGTGAGCCAAGATCACACCACTGCACTCCAGCCTAGGTGACGTTGAAAGGGTTCCATGCTGGTTTGGTGCCTTGCCAGCCTGCCACCTCTCCCTCAGTCCCAACCTGCAAAACCCCTGGGCTTCCCCACCATCCAGCAACCTAACGGTTAAAGCCCAGCCCTGCTGCAAGGCCATAGCCACTACCCATTCAGGACACACTGCTTGTTAAATTATCATCATCATCATTGTTGGAGACTGAGTCTCACTCTATAGCCCAGGCTGGAGTGCAGTGGCACAATCCTGGTTCACTGCAACTTCCACCTCCTGAGTTCAAGCAGTTCTCCAGCCTCAGCCTAGAGTAGCTGGGATTACAGATGGGCACCACCACACCTATTTTTTTGTATAATTTTTGTATTTTTGGGAGAGACGGGGGTTTCACCATGTTGGCCAGGCTGGTCTCGAACTCCTGACCTCGTGACCCACCCGCTTCGGCCACCCAAAGTGCTGGGATGACAGGTGTGAGCCACCGAACCCGGCCGTTCCCATAGTTTGAACCAAGAAGGAACAGTTAGTGAAGCTTAGAAAAAGAAGCCATGCTCACAAAACACCCATGACTGTACATAAAGCCCCGCACTGCCCAGTCTGATTGCACGCTCTCGCCACAGTCTGAACCTGCGTAAACCCAGCCAGCAGGGAATGCAGGGCAGCTGCAGATTGGAAACCATGGCTCCCGTTGTGCAATAATGCAGTGCGCTGACACACAAACGAAAGCAGACCGTCTTTACTTAAAATCTGGATTTTTTTTTCACCATGGATTTTTTGCATTAATTTTGATTCTTTAAAAGATTGTATAAAATCCATCTGTGGGTGACTAGAAAAAAATAAGAAAAAAAAAGATTGTGTAAAAATATTATTTTAAAAAATTTCTAGAGCCCACGTGTGGTGGCTCATGCCTGTAATCCCAGCACTTTGGGAGGCCGAGACAGGTGGATCACGAGATCAGGAGTTCAAGACCAGCCTGGCCAACATGGTGAAACCCCGTCTCTACTTTAAAAAATACAAAAATCGCCAGGCGCGGTGGCTCACGCCTATAATCCCAGCACTTTGGGAGGCCGAGGCGGGTGGATCACGAGGTCAAGAGATCGAGACCATCCTGGTCAACATGGTGAAACCCCATCTCTACTAAAAATACAAAAATTAGCTGGGCATGGTGGTGCGTGCCTGTAGTCCCAGCTACTCGGGAGGCTGAGGCAGGAGAATTGCTTGAACCCAGAAGGCAGAGGTTGCGGTGAGCCAAGATCGCACCATTGCACTCCAGTCTGAGTAACAACAGCGAAACTCCGCCTCGAAAAAATAAAAAATAAAAAAATTAGCTGGGCGTGGTGGGGCACGTCTGTAATCCCAGCTACCCGAGAGGCTGAGGCGGGAGAATCACTTAAACCCAGGAGGCAGAGGTTGCAGTGAGCTAAGTTTGCGCCACTGTACTCCAGCCTGGGTGCCAGAGCGAGACTCCATCTCAAAAAAAAATTTTTTTTTTTAGAGACAGGGTCTGTGTCACCCAGGCTGGAGTGCAGTGACAAGATCATGGCTCACTGCAGCCTCAACCTTTGAGGCTCAAGTTATCTTCCCGCCTCAGCGTCCCAAGTAGCTGTGACCACAGGCACACGCCACCATACCTAGCCTTTTTTTTTTTTTTTTTTGAGACAGAGTCTCGCTCTGTCACCCAGGCTTAAGTGCAATAGCGCAATCTCATCTCACTGCAACCTCCACCTCCCGGGTTCAAGCGATTCCCCTGCCTCAGCCTCCTGAGTAGCTGAGACTATAGGCGCGTGCCACCATGCCCAGCTAATTTTTTGTATTTCAGTAGAGAAGGGGTTTCACCATGTTGGCCAGGATGATTTCAATCTCCTGACTTCGTGATCCGAAGTGGGTTAATTTTTAGTAGAGATGGGGTCTTGCTACGTTGCCAGGGTTGGCCTCAAACTCCTGGCCTCAAACAATCCACCTGCCTCAGCCTCCCAAAGTGCTGGATTACACACATGAGCCTAGAGGAATGCTTTTGCCCCGGACTCCAGTAGTCCAGTAGCGGCAGGCTCAGGATGGCAGTCAGGTTAGAGCACTGGAGTCCATCCCCTGGGGTTCGGATCCTGACTGCCCTGTGTGAAGCCTGCGTGACCTCTGCAAGCCCCTCCACTGCTCCACGCCTCCTGTTGCTGCATGTTAACTCCCACAGAGAGCCAGGCAGCCCATCTGTTCTAACTGATACCATTTGTTTTTGTTTTTATTTTTTGAGACAGAGTTTCGGTCTTGTGGCCCAGGCTGAACTGCAATGGCACCATCTCGGTTCACCACAACCTCTGCCTCCCGGGTTCAAGTGATTCTCCTGTCTCAGCCTCCCGAGCAGCTGGGATTACAGGAATGCACCACCACACCAGACTAATGTTGTATTTTTAGTAGAGACAGGGTTTCTGCATGTTGGTCAGGCTGGTCTTGAACTCCTGACCTCAGGTGATCCACCTGCCTCAGCCTCCTTAAGTGCTGGATTACAGGTGTGAGCCACCGTGCCCGGCCTGACTGATATCATTTCAAAACCCTAAGCCATTAGGAGGAGTTATCAATTTCAAGTAGATTTTGCTGATTTTTTAGGTGTAGCCTTCCTCTCTCCCCTGGCTTTCCTCTGGAGTGGTAGTTTGAGATCTAGAACTCTGATTAGATTTAGGTTCAATTTTTTTTTTTTTTTTTTACAAAAATTACTTCATAGATGGTTCTGTATCTTTCCTGCTGCCTCACATCAAAGGCACCGAATGTCCAATTGTCTCTCTTCTTGAGACACTAAGACTATTGTGGGATCGTGGTGCCAACCCCGAACAAAATGTTTGGGGGCAGCCAGAGGAAGATACAAAGAGGAATGAGAAACAGATGTTTTTGGCCAAGCATTGTGGCTCACACCTGTGATCCCAGCACTTGGGAGGCCAAGGTGGGAGGACTGCTTGAGCCTGGGAGTAAGAGACCAGCCTGGGAAACATAGCAAGACCCCTGTCGCTACAAAAAACACTTAAAAAGTAGCCAGGTGTGGTGGTGTGCTCCTGTGCTCCTGGATACTTGGAAGGGTGAGGCAGGAGGATCGCTGGAGCCTAGGAGGTCAAGGTCACATCGCTGCACTCCAGCCTGGACAAGAGTGAGACCCTCTCACAAAAATAACAAAAATGTCACGGGTAAGTGGTGACTATTTGGGGCCAGTGGTGCAGGGTAGCATTTACCAAGACAGATGTCAGTGAAGAAAAGCAGATTTAGGCCGGGCGCGGTGGCTCACGCCTGTAATCCCAACACTTTGGGAGGCTAAGGTGGGCGGATCACGAGGTCAAGAGATCGAGACCATCCTGGACAACATGGTGAAACCCCATCTCTACTAAAAAACACAAAAATTAGCTGGGCGTGGTGGCATGCGCCTGTAATCCCAGCTACTAGGGAGGCTGAGGCAGGAGAATTGCTTGAACCCATGAGGCGGAGGTTGCGGTGAGCCGAGATTGCGCCACTGCACTCCAGCCTGGCCACAGAGCAAGACTCCGTCTCAAAAAAAAAAGAAAGAAAAGGAAAGCAGATTTATGAGAGAAAGTAGGAAAATACGTTGCAAGAGGGCAACGGGCATATCAGCAGAAGGAGCTAACTGCTAGGAGACAAAGCCTCGCTGGTGATCTTACAGGATGGTGCTTGTGCCGTGTGTGAAAAGGGCTTTGTGAACTATCCATAACTCCAAGGTTGCAGGAAGCTAACTTGCATTTTTCTATTAGCTGAGTGTCTGGCGATAGCTGGGCACAGGAAAACTGGGAGTTATTTGCGTAGGAGAGCTGCGTGCCCCAGACCATGGTGAAAGGCAGATGTATAGTTTATTGGCCTCCTCTTTTTGCTTTCCCTCGGTCCCACCAGCCTGACTCCTTTTCCCTAATTAGGACTCCACGAAAAACACTCCAGCAAAAGGAATAACTAGAGGGAGCGAGAGGAGAAGAGGGAAGGAGGGAGGAAGGAAGGGAAGAGGGAGAGAGGGAGGAGGGAGGAAGGGATGAGGAAGGGAGGAAGGGTGAAAGGGAGAAAGGCAGACGAAAGAAAAAACAAAGGGAGGAGGGAATTAGGGAGGAAGAAAGGAGAGAAGAACAGAGGGAGGGAGGTGGGCAGGGCTGTAATGACAGGAATGGCAGTCGTGGATACGTAGGGGTTTATAATATTCTCTTCATTTTTATGTGTTTGAAACTTTCCATAACAAAATAAAATAAAGAACAGGCCAGGTACAG